CCTTCTCGGATCTTTGATGGAGTTGAAGATTATATAATTGTAGTTACTCTCTACATTATTTAGACTCCTTGAGATAGAATGTTTAGCAAAACTTTTGATTCTCAATATTGTTTGTTATATTTATTTGTTATTATTGTATATAGTTGTATTTGGTTTAGTTCTGTCTTATTTAGACAAAAGGGGGAGATGTAGGGATAAGTCCCACCCCTTAGGGGGGCGTGTTCACCTCAGGCTAAAGTTTTCCTATAAATTTGGCGAGCGCGTGCTCCCAGCACTCGCTTCTGCTTTCCTGGTCTCCGCTGGAACGGTGGTTCTGTAAGTCTATTCCTCCATTAAAGCTGTCTATATTTTGACAATCTGTCTGCATTCGCTTACGCCGTTACATTTAGGCATCTGCTACCCACGTCTCTTGATTCCTCAGGGTTTAGAGTCTCTTACCCCTTCCCCATTCTGTTGTTCTTCGACAGCATTGTATGTGTATGTAATACAATGCCACACACACACACGTAGTAAATTCTAGTCATGTCATCCCAACTCCCTTCTCTTTCATCCCCCTGTCTCTGCTTGCTGAAACCTTATTTTCCTTCTGGCATTCCCACTGAGGCTATTTAGGGTTTCCTGTATGAGTGTGGGAGAGAAGTTTTTTCCTGGAGCATAAGCAACTTATCATGTTTATAGCGCAGAAGACAATGACATCCTAACCCCTTAGTCAATAACTGTGGGAAATTCCTTGGGGAGGATCCCTTCCCATTCATGATGATGAAATGTTGACAGGCCAATCTTGTCCAGGTCTTATGCAGATAACCACAGCAGCAGGGAGTCCATGGGGGCAATGGCTGTGTCCGGTCCACCAGACATCGTTTTGCTTCATATCTCCTGGTTCTATTCTCTCTCCTCTTTGTGATGTTCCCTGAGCCTTGGCGGGTGCGCCACAGCTGTCCTATTTAGGACCCTGCACTCTACTCTTGTTTATTTTTGGTTCTTTGGCCACTTTATGGGCTTCTGCACTAACTTCCATAGGGGGCTATTTTCTCTTTTCTCCCTCTCCCTTCTCCTCTCTCTCCCTCTTCCTCTTCCATCTCCCCTCCTCCCTTTTCTCCCTATATGTGGAGGCCAGAGGCTGATGTGCGTGTCTTCCTCTGTATTTGTCAACCCTATTATTTAATCTTTCACATTATTTATTATTGTGTGCGTGGCTGACAGTTCTCTGAAAGGAGCGGCATCCCCCGCCCCCCACTGACCCTTCTGCAGTTAACTGCCTAAACTGTCACTGATGGTGGAGGGAGTGGAATGTTACAAGCCCAGAGTCAAATCATCTCAGGCCATTTTCAGCCCTCTGAATAGCAATTTATGGCCCTTCTCTGTGGGTGACCATTAGGTAAAGCCTTTGGAATGAACAAATTGATACCTAGCTCCCATCAACCAAAAGGCTAAAGAGTGTCAGACTGGACCTGAGAGTCATGGCAGAAATTCCCCTGCTATGTTCTAACCTGCTTACCAAATGTCTCCATCAGTGTATCTGTGAGGTGCCTGGATCTGCAACTTTCTTTGTTCTCTTTCCATAAACGCTTCATCTTGGAACATGAACTTGGAGGTAACCTAGGTAACCTAAATCTATGTTCTCAGGCCATTAGATACTCATATCTGGCTCCAGAAGAAACCATTTCTGACCCCTTTTGTGGAGAGATCTGTGTTTTGGATTGACATTGTATGGTGTGCCTAAATGCGGGTGCTCGCATGCCAGGGAATGTCTCTGGAGGTCAGAGGGCGGCTCTGTGACTCTGGTTCTTTCCTTCGACCTTTACGTGGGCTCTGAGGATAGAATTCAGGCATAAGCTAGCATGCCAAGCTCCTTTACCTGCTGAACCATGTCTCTGGACTAACATTATGATGATTAGTATTTGAGACAGGGCCTCTCCTGAATCTGGAGCGTGCTTATTCAGCTACTGACTGGCCAGCAAGCCACAAACACCCTTTGTCTCCCGTTCTCCAGTGCTGGCTTTACAGCTGTGGGCGACTCTGGCTTTTACATGGGTGTTGGGGATCAAACTCAGGTCCTCATGCTTGTTGTGCAAGCATTTACTGACTGAACCATCCCCTCAGCCTCAGGAGGCTTTAGGCTTTCAATTACTCATGGCAATCTGTTTTCAATTATCACTGGATTCAGCTGCAAACAGCTTAGCTCGTTCCTACTCTCTCATCTCTCAGGAACAGTCCGTAGTGGCGTAGGCATTAGAGACGAAGGGTAAGGTGTGACTTCAGGCCTCACATGGCAGAAAGAGGCTTTGGTCTGCTCTGAGTGAGAGATCCCAGGGGATCCAGCGGCACTGATATTATGCCCCTAGAATCTTGCCCGTTTTATGCTGTTTGTTTTTCTTTCGCATCTAAGAAAAAAAAAAAACCCACCTAACTATAGTTATGAAAAATACTCTACTAAAGGAAACAGGCAGAGAGGCAACTCAGAGTTTGAGTTCCAGTGGAAGAGGAAGTCATGTGTGCCAGAGATTGGGCGTGGCAGACGTGAGCAGGGCTCAACTCATAAGCAAACTCAAATGAGAAAAGCTTCGTGGCAGCTGTTTGGCGGGCTCGCTCAAGTCGAGTTTCCCCGAGGCGTTGTTCTGTTCCAGTTCTTTGGGAAGCCTGTGCTGTTCCCTCCATCAAGCCAATGCTTTCTACATTAGGGATCAGCTGTGAAACTGGACCCAGGTGCAGGCTGCCAAGGGGGAGACGGCAATAGTACTCTTTGGAATGAGACACTGTAGTCTAGTCAAAAACCACCAGCACTCAATCTGCATGCAGACAATGGATGTTTTCTCACTGTGAACCTTTGTTGATATGCTTATATTTTAAAATTATTAGTACGAATTAATACTACTATCAATTATCTCCCTTTCACCATGGCAGTCACATGATCCATGAATTACTGCCTAGAATCGGAACTACCAAAGTTATTCAGGTAGCCATGTGGCAGAGTGTACTAATGATGAAACACACAAGACGTTCTAGAAGCTTCATGGGCCTGGACAAGAAATCAAGGCTTTCAAGAGTTTGCGTCTTAATTGTGGTATTACATAAGCAACTGAGGAAAGAGAAGAGCTGACTAAATTTTGTATTTATTGTCTTTTTTTTTCATGATAGTTTCTGAACTGATGCAGTGATATTTTGTTGCTTCTGGATTTATAAATGAAACTTTGTGTGTGTGTGTGTGTGTGTGTGTGTGTGTGTGTGTGTGTGCTTTTAAATGTACTCCCTAGTTTTCTTGGTTTGGAATCCAGTGGGTGGGACGGTTTCATGACTTTTAAGCACACTATTGGTTGAATGCTTCATTGAGGCAGCTGCCAGCTGTAGCCGTCTCTTTCTGCCATGGGCTCAGCACCTAATGGCCGACACGCTCTGTCTGGAGGAACAGTGCTTAGAGTGAGTTTCATTCTTGGACCCAGTCAATCTGAAGACCTTTTTTTGCCTTGACGTTTGATTCCCCCCACCTCCGAGCCCAGAAGAATGAAGAATTCTGATGTAGAAAGCTTGCAGGGCTCTGCACAGAACAGAGCCTAGAGGGACATGAAACCTGTCGATTGATTGGGAATCAGTGCTGGAAGGTGAGAGGAGGGAAAACCTCGGTGCTCTTAATTTCTCTCTTCATTGGTGTTGGGCTTTGACCAGATGAAATTTCCATACCACAGTGCAAAATTCAAATAAGTTGTCTTAATTGTCTAGTCAAAGGGGGGCGGGGGAGACAGAAAGAGAGAGAGAGAGAAAGATTTGCCAAGGATGGAAAACAGTGCTGCTGCTCTTATTAATTTCCCTTGCTTTGGAAAATAGCTACATTAAATGAAATTAACAGCTATTTATTTATGTACTCATTTTTCAACTGTGTCTTCTTCTACAGACAGCCAAACTGGCCTCAAATTCATGACCCTACCGCTTTAGCTTCCAGAATCCCAGGATTACAGCTACAAATAGTGTTTTCATTAAAATAAGTTTTTTTTTTATTTGAACATGTAGCAATCACAAGCCTATTATTATTTAAATAACGAAACAAATATTTTCTTAAAATTTTCTTAATTAAATATTTTGACACCATAATAGTGATGGAGGTAACAGATTTGAGAGAGCTCTTTGGTATCCTCAGAAAGTTTTGAGCGTGTATAAGGGTCTCAAGAGTAAGTGATGCAGGCAGAAGGAAGAAGAGCAGGAGAGGAGGAAAGAGGAGGTTCGAGTCCTGTGACCTGGGACTGAGGGACTCAAGCTTGCTGCTATTGTCATGATCCACATAATGAAGACCGTTTCACTCTATGTTAGATGACAGCAAACACACATCATTAATTAGATGATTAATAATGGTACTTATAGTATGTAATGCTGATATTATTAAATTACTGCGGCCACTAGATGGATCAGTGGATAAAAATGCTTGTCACCAAGCCTGATGACTCGTGTTCCCGTGTTCTAGCCCTGGGCAACACATGATGGAAGGAGAAAAACATCTGAAAACTGTTCTCTGCCCTCTATATATTTACACACACACACATACATACACACACACACACAGACACACACACAGACACACACACACACACAGAGGCAATATTGTTATTTCTGGGCTTGCACACTGGTGGTCTAAAGAAGTGTTACTGTTATACATCTTTGAGAAGAAGACACCATGAGAAGCTCACCGGCCTTCTTGGGAGAGAAGCCTGACACAGGCTGTGTGACCGCAGTAGAGGGCGTAGGCCAGGGGTGTGCTCTCATTAATGTCCCTCAGGTTGCAGTCCATGCCCAGCTCCAGCAGTGCCTGGACACATTCTGCTTTTCCGGCAGCTGCAGCCCAGTGCATGGGTGTCCTGGGGGAACAGCACAGAAAAAAACACAAAGGGTTCAGTCAGCACCTTACAGGCTGGCTAGCCGTGGTTGCCCGACACCAGAGTCAGGCTGAAGGAGGACAGTTCCATTGCTCTCCATAGTATGAAATAGTGTGCGTGAATCCGGTGTAAGAGTCTAGGCTGTGTAGAAGATGCTTCCCTCCGCCTCTGTGCTTTCTGTCTGCTTTGCCATCTCTGCTCTTCCTGAGAATTTCCTAGAAGAGGAAGTCTGAGTGGTTTGAAGGCTCTTTACATACAGTGCCAACTGCCTTCTAGGAACGTTGACTCCATTTACTCTCTTACAGCGGAGACCTCACTCCTTCTTGAACAATGAGTTTATTGCCATCTTTAAAATCTCTGTCAACCTGGGGCACAGAACATACTAAGAGGTGAGTGATCAGCCAGCCAGCTGGACACCCGACTCTCTAGGCCCTTGGGACTGGGGCAAAACCCCAGGCTCCTCCCCCACCTGCCTCAGCTTCACCAGCCAGTCAGTAGGCAAGCTTCCTGAAGGTAAGGCTGCTCCAGTGCCCCCTGTCCCCACCCATTGACTGGACCCTGTAAGCTACAAGGCCCACTCTGCCTCCAAACCCACCCATTCCCCGTGACCTCAGAGGAACTCTGAAGCACAGGCTGCAACTGCACAGAGTAGGACCAAGAGACTGAGACTGTGCAGAGCAAACCAAGAGAGCGGGCCAAGGGAGACTTCAGCAGTTTCATGAGACTCAGAGAGCAATCGCACAGAGCAGAATAAGAGCAGCTCCCTAAGACACAGACAGCAACTGCAAGAATTTGACCAAGAGGCAAAGACACTGCCAGCATCAATTGGACGAAGAAGTGGGTAGGCACCAATGCAAAAATTTGTTCAATAACCTAAAAAGCAACATGGTAACATCAGCACCCAGTGGTCATACAACAGAAAGACCTGATCATCCTAATACAGAAGAAGCAGAGGAAAACAATCTTAAATATAGCTTTATGAAGATGATAGAGACCCTTGAAGAGGAAATGAAAACTTTCCTTAAAGAAATGGAGGAAAAGACAAATTGGAAATAATCAACAAATATCTTAAAGAAACTCAAGAAAGCCAAGAAAAAACAAACAGGTGAAGCAAGCTGTCCAAATTGTTCAAGACTTGAAAACTGAAAAAGAGGCAATAAAGAAACACAAACTGAGAGAATTCTAGAAATGGAAAATCTGGGTAAATGAACAGGAACTACCAATGCAAAAGCATAACCAGCAGAATACAAGAGATGGAAGACAGAATCTCAAATGTTGAAGATGACTATAGAGGGAATAGGTTCGCTGGTCAAAGAAAATCTTAAATTCAACAAATTCTTAACACAAAATATCCAGGAAATCTGGGACACTATGAAAAGACTAAACCTAAGAAAAACAGGGATAGAAGAAAGAGAAGAACTCCAGCTCAAAAATATATTCAACAAATTTGTAGAAGAAAACCTTTCCAACCTAAAGAAGGATATGCCTATGGAGGTACAAAAAGCTTACAGAACACCAAATTGATTAAACCAAAAAAAAAAAGTTCTCTTGCCATATAATAAAGCACATAACATACAGAATAAGGAAAAAAATATCAAAGAGCTGTAAAGGAAAAAGGCCAAGTAACATATAAAGGCAGACCTATCAGAATTACACCCAACTTCTCGACGTAAATCATGAAAGTCAGAAGGTCCTAGACAGATGTGCTGCAGACACTAAGAGACCATAGATGTAATCCGAGACTAATATATCCAGCAAAGCTTTTAATCACCATTGATGAAGAGAACAAGATATTCCATGACAAAACCAAATTTAAACAATTCCTATTCACAAACCTATCTTTACAAAAAATACTAGAAGGAAAACTCCAACCCAAGGAAGCTAACTGCACCCCAAAAAACAAGGCAATGGATAACTTCATACCAGCAAACCCCAAAGAAGGGAAACACACAAACACTACCACCAAAAAAATAACAGGAATTAACAATCACTTGTTATTAATATCACTTAATATCAAGCCGGGTGGTGGTGGCTTTAATCCCAGCACTTGGGAGGCAGAGGTGGGTGGATCTCTGTGAGTTTGACGCCAGCCTGGTCTACAAGAGCTAGTTCCAGGACAGGCTTCAAAGCTACAGAGAAACCCTGTCTCAAAAAAAAAAAATCTCTTAATATCAATAGACTCAATTCACCTATAAAAAGGCACATGTTAACAAAATGGGTAAGAAAGCAGGACCCAACCTTCTGCTTTATACAAGAAACACACCTCAACCTCAAAGACAGATATTACTTCAGAGTAAAGGGTTGGTAAAAGGTTTTTCAATCAAATGGACCCAAGAAACAAGCAAGTGTAGCTATCCTAATATCTAACAAAATAGACTTCAAACTAAAATCAATCAGAAAAGATGGAGGACAGTTCATACTCATCACAGGAAAAATCCATTAAGATGTCTAAATCCATTAAGATCAGGAAGTCTCAATCCTGAACATTTACGTCCCAAATACAAGCACAACCACATATGTAAAAGAAACATTACCAAAGCTTAAATCACACATCAAACCCCACACACCAACAGCAGGAGACTTCAGCACTCCACTCGTTCCAACGGACAGGTCAACCAGACAGAAACTTAACAGAGAAATAAGAGAACTAACAGATGTCATGACTCAAATGGACTTAACAGACATATATAGAACATTTCACCCAAACACAAAAGAATATACCTCCTTCTCAGTACCTCATGGAACCTTCCCTAAAATTGACCACTTTCTTGGAAACAAAGCAAACTCAACAGATACAAAAGGTTTAAAGTTAGAATTCAACAAGAACACTAATTGCAGAAAGCCTACAAACTCATGGAAATTGAACAGTGCTCGATTAAACCACCCCGGGGTCAAGGAAGAAATAACAAAATTAAAGACTTCCTAGAATTCAATGAAAATGAAGGCACAGTGTACACAAACCTACGGGACACTACGAAAGCGGTGCTAAGAGGAACGTTCATAGCACTAAAGAAAGTGGAGGAATCTCACACTAGCGACTTAACAGCACACCTGAAAGCTCTAAAGCAAAAAGAAGCACGCTCACCCAGGAGGATTAGATGACAGGAAATAATTAAATTGAGGGCTGAAATCAACAAAATAGAAACAAAGTAAACAATACAAAGAATCGATGAAACAAAGAGCTGGTTCTTTGAGAAAATCAACAAGATAGACAAACCCTTATCCAAACTGGATTTGGCATGTAAAATGAGAAAAGATACTTTTTTAAAAAAAATAAATTAAAATTAAAAAATCTTTGTCAATTTGGTTGGCAAAATGATACTTTGATATTGCCGTTTGTGTTTCTTTATTTACTATTAAGGTTAAATTTTCCATTTGAATTTTTTTTTATTGAAATCACTCTTAATGCCTTTTGTTGCTTTTTTTTTTCAAGGTAGATTCTCACTGTACAGCATGGATTAGCCTTGAACATACACTCTTTCTGCCTCAGTCTCCAAAGTGGAGGGATTAAGTCATGTGTCACTAGCCTGTGTCTGTTATCTATTTCTCTATGATAGTATTAATGCATTTGAATGGGCTCTTTGCATACTAAAGATACTGATCATTTATAGGTCATCTATACAAACTTCAAACATCTTGTTCTTCAATCTTTCAAATTTTAGTGATTTTTTTCTATGTAAAATGGAAAGCATTCACATTCAAATACATTTCATTTTATGTCTTTCATGTTCAGAAAGTCCTTTCTTAACCATAAGACAGATATTCACTAATACTTAACTATTTGTTAAGACCCATTGTTTTCTTTCTTTCTTTCTTTCTTTCTTTCTTTCTTTCTTTCTTTCTTTCTTTCTTTCTTTCTTTCTTTCTTCCTT